TTTACAGAACTGTGCTCATGAAATTTGTACTGTGTGTGAAAAGGAACATTTACAGAACTGCATTAGTAGGCAAACATAGAGCATGCGGAACTTTGCCCAGATGCAAGTTGAATAATAGTGGTACCATTCAGTTTCAGTCATGCAGAGCATAGAACATTACTACATGATTCCACCAAAAAATGCCATGGAGAGCATGAGGCCACGAACCATAATTCCAACACTTATAAGTTGTTGACATACTTGCAGTGCAGGATAATTCTTGTTTCCATTTTGCAAACTACAACTATTTTTCTAGACACCAAGTAGGAGCTTGTCAGACGAAGCATAGTATCCTTCACGCATGCAAAGTTTCAATGCAATGATCCCTTTCCCTAAGACAGAAGTTCAATACATTGTGAATAAAAATAATGTATTGTTCTTATTCTTAAGCAGTACTTTAAATAACCAAAACTTGCTGAACTTTAAGCGTCTCTTCCTGAAACTGTAAACAAAAGCGGTATCATATTCTTCAGTTCAGCAATTATAAACTTAAAGATGGCATACCAGAAATTCAGTACATAAAGTATATACAAACTTCCAAGTCAAACAAACACAAACACGTTGCATGATTAGCCAAAGAGAAGGATACAAGATGAGTGCTTTAAGGCTGAACTTGTTAAGAACCCTACTAGTAATTGAAGTAATATGTAAGCTATTAATCTCTCAGGATGAACACTGATGCATTCAAGCATATTGACAAGGAAAAACTATACTCCATACCCTTAAACTCTTCGAGCTGTCTAACTTCTCACCGTAACCCTCTAAAGCATGAGAGGAGTCAGAAATATATATGACGAATAGAAGGAATTTGACAAAGCTGCTTATGCTTGAAATCTTTCAGCTATGAAGACCAGAAACACACACATGGCTACAATCTTTTTTCTTTCACTTCAGAAGGACGGTACATATGTACTCCCTCCGTATTACAGAGGGAGTAACAGGGAGGAGCTCTCCGGCCCCATTCTCATAATGAAGCCAAAACAGCACTGGATACAGGCAGCAAACGCTGTTCTTAAAACGAAATGCAACTAAAAACAAGGAAGACTCGTGCCACGGCCTCCTACGATGAGGACCAGACGTCCCATGGAAAGGCAAGCTAGTTATGCCGAACCCACCACAGCAGGGTAGGAGCAGAATATTACAGGTTTTATCAGAAACATCTCTTTTTATACATCTCCTTTTTCATACAATGCTAAGGAGGAACACAGCATCAGACGTGGATCCTCAAAGCAGAGCACATAGCCTTCAGGGGGGGCGCCATGAGAGGTTACGGCGACCGGGCTCTGTGTAGCTCTGACGAGTTTGCTCTTCAGTGGTGACATGAAGTCAGCCCTGCTCCTTGCCGCCTCCTGGTCTGATACTGGGTGAGGTGAGAGACAAACAGGGGTTGTTAAATTCAGCCTGGACAGACCAACAGAGGCTTCCTCAGGAAGTCTGTCAGGAAGGCGGAGAACTCCGGCCTCTGCTTGGGTTGATCTTGAGACAGAGCTAACCAATACCTGATTGTTCTCAAAGTGCCCCAACACACCTGTTTGATAGAAAGCCACTGAACATTGTTAAATATCACGGACTTCCTAAATTTCCAGATATTCCACATAACAGCAGCACAAGCAGTGTTTAAAGCATTTGCTGTTAGCTATCCAGTAGTACTTAGCTACAGAAAGGTAATCAAAGCCAACTGGTGCTCCAAAAAACTCTCTAATTTTGAGCCAGATGGCTTTGGCAACTACACAATCAAACAAAAGAGGATAGACAGTTTCATGCTCACAACAGAAGACACACTCAAGAGGCTTAATTATGTGTCTTTTCCTCAAGTTATCCCTAGTCATCAGCTTGTTATGAGAGAACAACCAGAGGAAGAAATGAATTTTTCGGAGGGACCTTGAGTTTCCAGACTGCAGGTATATGAACTGGCCGTACCCCCCTGAAGTTGATAACATGGTACAGGGAGCTAGTGGAATAATTACCGTACAACAATACGCCGGCGAATGCAGAACCCAATATCAACCTCTGCATAAAAAAACCCCACAAATTCATAAAAGTGAAAAATTACTGTGTCTCTCTACTTCCTTTGATTATTTTACGTTTTCTCCAAGAATTTAGTATGATTTTTTTTCTCGCGAGGTTTTGGTGTCCCTTTGATCAGCCATATAGAGCCAAAAATAGTATTATCCATTGGTTCTAAACAACCTTGGAATAAAAAGAAGTAGTAACTGCAAAGTGAAAGTGAATAATCGGTGAAGTAGGTACCTAAATCTAAATGCAACACCTGTGTATCGATAGTGTCAAGCCACTATGGACGTTTCACCAGCTCCTACAGAACAGCAACCTACAAAGGATCTGCACCTAAGAAAAAGGTTAAACCAAATGGAAGCACACGGTAAATAGCAGTGAAAGTGAACAAAACATGATGAAAGTGACTTCTCAATCGTGTCATCAAGTGCTTTCATTCAGTCAAAGATGTTTTTCTATTTTTCTAGAACAACGCATGAGAGCTGCGTGTCATTTCGTTAAGAGAGAAAAAACAGTACAGGGGAGAGGCCAAAGAGACTACTCATAAAACACACCCAGCACACACACAACAGGACTACAAACACGCCACTATGAATTTTAAACGTCCACGACCAGGTCACCTCCCCAATAATAAGAGTCCAGGGAGAGCGACCGAAGGAGGAGCTTATGAAGCGCAGAGATTCCAGCCAGACACCATAAACCATTCTCATCCACTATTTGCAAAACCACCTTAACACTTGGGTTTGCCCCTTCAAACACAATCATTTCGGTGCTTCCAAAGCTCCCAAGGTATTAAAATGATCAGGGAGTTGAGGCCTTCTCTCAGCACCTTTGGGACCCTACTGATAGCATTGCTCCACCAAGCAGAGAACTGAGCAGCAGTAGGTTGAGGGACAATAGCAATCAGGCCCAACCTTTGGAAAATTAGTGTCCAGACCTGCCGAGCAAACACACATGAGATGATGGTGTGTTGGATTGTTTCCTCAGCCTGATCACAGAGGGGACAAGCAACTGGATAGGGAAGGCCGCGCTTCGCAAGTCGGTCAGCTGTCCAACACCGGCTGTTTACAACTAACGAAATGAAAATTTGCAGTGCAGACCAGCTTTTCCAGATTTGTTTCCAAGGTGTGAACTTGATGGTTCCAATGAAGAAAGTGTGATATGCATATGTACTGATGTAGGAACCTGACCGAGTGAAACGCCACCGCTGCTGATCAAGAACTTTCTGATGTAAGACCAGATTATCAACCATGTCCCAAATCTGAAGACACTCAATAGTTCACTTGTACCGTTAGGGCTCCTTTGATGTCAGTTACCCATCCTTGGCTGTTCAGGCCTTGAGCAACAGTTCGATGTTTAACAACTCTTATGGAGATCAACTTGATCAAGTTAGGAGCCAACTCAGTGATTGTTCTGCCTTACAACCACCGGTCAGACCAGAATTTTCTTGCCTCCCGTGCACAATGGATTCCGCCGCTACCCCAAAAAGCGCTTGAGCACTGCGTGAAACTCAACCCAGGGTCTTGAGGCATCTGTTTTTTACAGCCATAGCCATCTGATGTGCAGAGCCCATCAAATCTTCAAGATTTGGGTTTGCTTGCCACTGTTGTCTTTTGCTTGACCTTTCCAAGGAAACCTCTATGCCTCTTGTCAATGGCTTTATTTTCTTACAATTGGATTTTACCTTTACCTATGAATTATGACACAAGACAACAGTAGTTTTTAGGCAGTATGAAGAAGAGATTTCATCATGGACATATAACTACTACAAGAATATGACATGGAAAACCTTATCCATCCTGGAGAATTGGGCATTTGCTCCCTCAAGCCTGCATAATAGAAAAAAACTTGGAACATCATGTGTCATATCAAAATATTAAGCAGAATCAGATCTAATGTAAAATCAATCAACAACATAGTTGTGAAATAAGATGCCTTTTTCTCGTTAAACTTTGCAATCAAGGAACCTTCCAATTTTTTTGGAAAACTTAGCGGCATTGCAATATAAAAAATAAAAGTAAACGCAGCAAGCAAGTAAAAAACCAACATAAGACGGTAAGAAACCAATTATAATAAGGGCACTGTGCATTTTAGCAAATACACATGACTCAACAGATGGACAGAGTACGGTCAAAAAGGAAATCTGTAAATGCCCAAAATCTGCTAGGTTCTACTCCCTCCGTTCCATATTAGTTGTCATTGATTTAGTAGAACTTTGTACTAAATTAGCACATCCTTCCTTCCAAACATCTAGAAAATGGAGTAATCAAATATTAGTGTATAATATGTAAATAATCTTCTCTGACTACTGCAAGATCAATACACTTGTGGCTCTGCTTTGTTAGAGACTGAACCTGAGGACTGGGTGACTGACCAAACAAAAATGTACAATTTTACCTCGGTGAAAGAAAATCTACATTGAATTGATTTTCCCCCTTTTCACAGAGACATTGAGGTGATATCTTTTCAACTAAACTATCTATGCAGAAGAATCACTATTAGCCGTTGTCTCCTGCTGTGAAATAAATAAAAGGAACCAAAGATACAAAATTATTAGCTGCAACATATTAACAGAAGTGGAACAAATGTAAGGAAGATGCTGATAGGACCATATAAAACTGTATCCAGTTTGGTTGATAGCACAACAATGTGGTACTTATGAAGTAACTGTAGTTGGAAATTACAAATTGTATGAACCTAAACTATTATCGCACAATTGACTATCATTTGGATTATCCTGATACAATTGAGACCGGAAGATGGAAAGTGTTTCTTCCAAACATAGATTAACACCATGGCCTTAATAAAAAGAGAACAATCATGCTCGACAAACAATAACAGAAATCCCACAAGCAATAGCAAAAGTAACCCTGAAATTATTATTTCAAATGAGCCATGGGTGGCAGCTGTAGGATTGAGCAGTAGTACCATTGGAACATAATGAATGGTCAATCAAACAAAGGTTCCTGTATCAGAATCTTCATTTTATCAACGAGAAATTCAAGCACATCCTTCCTTCCTTCCTTCAGAAGGAGCTGCCTCAGCTTGCCAAATGTTGAACCAGGGGGTCTAATGCCCTTCTCTATCATATCTTCAAGCAGAACACAAGCTTGGCTAACCTCACCCTTGTCACACAGCCCGTTGATCAGCACAGAGAACGTGTGCATGCTCGGCAGAAACTGCTTCAACCTCATATATTTCCATACCTTCAGTGCCATCTCTAACCTGTCATTCTCACAGAACATCTTTATCATCATGGTGTATGTATCAGAATCTGGCTGGCAGCGCTTTATCATACGGCGGAAGACCCTGTATGCTTCTTCATCCTTTCCAAGGCTAATCATCTTGTTAAGGATGATGTTCCAGGTCCTTGAGTTTGGGGTGATTCCATGGCCTTCCATGTCATCCATGACTCTAAATGCATTGTCAAATTTTTTCACTTTGCAGAAGGCAGTGACAAGTGCATTATAAACCACAACATCTGGCACGATTCCGTCCTTCTGCATATCCAAAAATGTTGCAACAGCATCCTCGATCCTCATTTCAACACCGTAAGTATGCACGAGCACACTGTATATGAAGGTTGTTGGTTGGCAGCCCCTGGAGCTCATGTCCTGCACCACAAAGACAGCTTCCTCAACACGGCCTGTCTTGCAGAGGGAATCAACCATGATGCCATATGTGACTATGTCAGGCTGGCAGCCTGCATCAAGCATCTCACTGTAGACCTCTCGCATCTTTGGGAGATTAGGCGCTCTCCCCCAACCCTCAAGCAAGATGCTATAGGTCTTGGCATCAGGGCTGAACCGGTCATTCATCTGTTCAAAGATCTCCTGTGCCTTGCGCACATTCTTGGACTTGCACAGTGCGCAAAGCAGGCTGTTGAAAGCGGCGAGGTTAGGCACCACGCCGTACTTCTCCATGACATTGAACGTGTAAACAGCTTCATCGACCTTCTGCGCCCGTGCGTACTTCCGCATTATGATGCCAAACGTCTCGACATTGACCACGCCCTGCCGGCACATTATGGCAACGACGTCCCACATGAGCTGGTACTGGCGGATCTTGGCGAGGGACGCGACCACCGTGTGGAAGGAGCGGACGGTGTGGGCGCAGCCGCCACGCCTCTGCTTGCGCGCCCACTCGAAGAAGCGATACGTGAGCATGCCAGCGTTGTCGAGGCGCTCGAGGACGCGCTCGGCGACGTCCGGGGTGACTCGGAGGTCGCTGTGGTCGAGCTCGATCTCAAGCCCCGAGGCCTGCCGGCAGGAGATGATGAGCTTGCAGAGGCGCTTGGCGGGGTCAAAAGCCTCCACAGCGGTATCGCTGCCACCTGTCCCGCTGCTAAGCATTCTAACAAACACCTTGCGTGCCTCCAGACCGGTGAGACGGAAACTGGCCATTCCGCTATCACCGCCTTCCACACGCTGACACTGCTGTGGTGAGCTCGCGCAGAAGCCCCGCACTTCACCGCCTCACTGAGGTCTCGCTCCGTGGTGGCCGGCGGCCGGCCGCGGCAACTGGGCGGGGCGTCGCTCCTTCGCCGCGATCACCACACCGAATGTATCGACCTCCAGCTGTAGCCGCACGTATCCGCCTCCACCGCTCTGTTCTTCCCTCCCTCCCTCCCTCCCTCCACCTCAAGCCATGCCTCCCGCTCACAACGGAGCCCTCTCAACCTCTCCTCGTCTAGCGGAGGCCGTCGGAATCAAACGCCGTCGATTGAGGGAGAGAAAATGGCCTGTGGAAGAGAGAAGCAGGATCTGTTTCGGCAAGCCGTTCGTTTAGGGCTTGAGCAGGCCGAGTGAACCTGTGTGTTGGGTGTGTATGCGTTCTCAGTCCACTCAAGCCCAAAAAAGGATACAAACTGAAGTTTCCGAAAAATAATGCCCAGCTCATCTGCAGCTGGTTAGAAAAAAAATCGTAAAAAATATATTTTTTAAAAAATTCTAATTTTTTTGTTTGCGGTAGAAAATTTGATGTGTGAGGCCCGCTCCAAATTTCAAGTCATTTAGACGAACGATGCTAGACCCACGTAAAGTTACGTGAGATTTTTACGTAAAGGCTGACTTGGTGGTAGTTAATTGGA